CAGTGGCTCACACCTGTGTCATCCTAGCTACTCGGGAGGCTGAGATCTAAGGATCACGATTCAAAGCCAGCCCAGGCAGTAAAGTCCAGGAGACTCTTTATCTCCAATGAACCACCAGAAAACTGGAAGTAGTGCTGTGGCTCAAGTGGTAAAGCGCTAGCCTTGAGCACAAAGAGGCTCAGGATCGGTGCACAGGCCCTGATGATTTCAAGCCTGGCAACCAACAAATAAAAAAAAAAAAAAAAAATTGACGTTCAACAGAGACAAACCCCATTCTACTCCAGCAACTTAATATGCTTAGCAAATTATGACCTAAAAAGAGCATGCTATGTCTTTCTTGGTATAATGCAAACTCGTTATATAAAGCTCCATGATGGGTACATTTTTAATTCTGCCATGGAGGTCGGCTTTAGTTTCCCAGTTATCAAGCTGTATTTCTTCCCTCCTTCTTCTCTATCAGCCAAAATGGGCTCCTGATTGCTTGACTTCTTTGGTCCCTCGTAACTAATTTAATATCAATTATTTAGTCCTATCGCTCCAGAAAATCGCCCAAATCATTCCTTCTTCTGTGTCTGTGATAAAGCACTCCTATAAGTCAATAAAAAGATAAACAAGCCATTACATAGAAACCTGTTCTCCCTACTAAAGACTAAATATCAATTAAACTGACTAATGTAAATATGTCAATGGTTACATGTATCTTACTTTTTTTTGGCTGGTCAGTCCTGGGGCTTGAACTCAGGGCCTGGGTGCTGTCCCTGAGCCTGTTAGTACTCAAGGCTAGCACTCTACCACTTGAGCCACAGTGCTACTTCTGTCTTTTTTTTTTTTTTTTTTTTTTTTGAGTATCTTATTGGAGATAAGAGTCGCACAGGGACTTTTCTGCCTGGGCTGGCTTTGAACCACGATCCTCAGATCTCAACCTCCTGAGTAGCTAGGATGACAGGCGTGGCTTGTTTCTTACTTTTTTTTATGTTAGGGGAAAAAAAACATTGTGTAAACCCGAGCAGGATAATATGAAATGAATAATGGTAGAAGTTCTTGGAGAAATACAATGTGGAAATGTGCGGCATTAATCTGTGAATTCTCCCCAAGGGTTTGCCACAAATGTTTTAGTATCACTCTGCCAGAAGTCTATTACAGAGGCTTTCTCTTTCAGTATAAAAAAAAAATCACTGATTATTCAGACACAAACATAGACCCAAAGCAAGAATCATAAACCAACGTAGCCTGTCCCAAGAGATTCTGGGATTATTTAACACCAGGATGGCCATCTCTTGAATAGTAATTCACTTTCCAGCGTCATGTTAAACTAAAAGCGCTATTTAAGCATCATCAATGAAGTGTCCTGCCCTTTTTCTCGGTGGACTGTTGAAACCTGTTTCTTATTCAATGAACAACTTTAATGAGTTTGTGATACCACTCAAGTATGATTCAAAACCTTTTGGGAGATTGAAACTCCAAATTAAAAAATAAATGAACAACCTTGTGAAGTCATGCTGGTGGCTCACGCCTGTAATCCCAGCTATTCCGGAAGCTGAAATCTGAGGATTATGGTTCAAAGCCATCCCAGATGGGAAAGTCTATTAGACTCTTATCTCCAATTAAGCACAAAAAAAAGCAGACGTGATGCTGTGGCGCAAGTGGTAAAGTGCTAGCCTGGAGCACAAAAGCTCAGGGCCAGTGCCCAGGCCCTGAGTTCAAGCCCCAGGACAGGCATGAGAAAATGAAAACCCTGTGAAATGGGTTCACCTTTCAATGCCAGTGACTGAACATCTTTGGAGTTCTCTGCTCCATCACTCACTGGGGGTACTGGGGACCCACAAGTTTCAAGTTTCAGCCAGTCGCTCAGAGACAGCTACAAGAACATGCACACCTGTTCCCACCGAAGCTAGAATTGGACACCACGGTGGTCTGGTCACAAACACCACCATATATCTTTCAGACTGTATGATCTGGTCATTAAATTTCCAATTGTGGGTATTTATTTTTGCTCTAAAATGTGGCTATCTCAAATGCCATTTTATGATCCAATTGCTATATGAGTAACACCAAATGCTTGAATATAATGAAGCCTAAAACATTCGATTTGGTGATCCATATAAACACTGACTTTACTGCCACAATTTCCAAAACTGGGCAAACTGTCTGCATGTGGAACTGAAGAACTATCACAGCTTAAACCCCATGCTTTAACTCAGTGAACACAGATATTTGAAACCTAGGCTGAGGCTCAAGTGGTAGAGTACCTACCTCGCAAGCACCAAGCCCTGAATTCAATCTCTAGTACTGAAGGAAAAGACAAAGAAAAAAGAACTGTGGAAAAGATTTTTTTTTTGCAATTTTATAGTCCAAATCTATGATTTACCGATAACTATATACATACGTTAATAGAAGCAAGCATGCATGCAACTTATAGGAGAGCTTTAACTTCAGAAAAGATCACCCAAATCATAATAACATGCACCGCCAAGGTGGTTTCTGTCTTCAGAAACCAGCCCCAACCAAATGAATACCTGGCATTGTCTGGATGCTATTATTTTCTTGTTGTTTTGTTTTTACATTTATTTATTGCTATTGTAAAAGTGATGTGTAGAAGGGTTAGTTACATAAGTAACATTTCTTTTGAACAATATCACCTGTCTTCTCGCTCTCTCCCAGTTTTTCCCTCCCATCCCTACCCACAAGTTGTATAGTTCATTTTTCACATAGTGTCTAGTAAGTATCACTGCTGCATTTGTTCAACCTTTGTCCCACCATTTCTGTGCACCCCACAACCCTTCCAAAGACAGATAAATGAACAAACAAAAGGAAATGAAAAACAAATACAGCAACAAAGAGGGGGAAAAACACCTCTGGTTCCTTGGAGTTCATTTCAATCAATATTATTTCATATGGTCAGGTGCACAATGCTATTGTGCCTATGTGATCCTCTCCTAACAATATCCTCCTTTGGTCTCACTGTGTGAATGCCTAGAGACCTGTATAATTTATCATGTTCAAGTGTATTTTTTTTCTTTTAACATCCAGGGTGTTTACTGATAGATTCAGAGGCACATTCTAACTACCACAAAAGAGGGAAACCATGCAATCTATGTTTCTTTGGGTCTGGTTTACTTTGATTAATATAATGTTTTCCAAGCCTTCCTATTTCCTTGCAAATGGGGCAATGCCATTCTTTCTGATCAAGGAGTAGAATTCTACTGTGTATGTACATATACCACATTTTCTTGATCCACTTGTCCACTACAGGGCAGCTGGGTTGAAGCCCATTGAATGGGAGATTTTTACCAGCTATGTATCAGACGAGGGCCTCATATCTAAAACTTTGAGCTCAAAAAATTAAACCCCCAAAAATAAACTCTCAAAGAAACAACACTCCCATTAAAAAATGGACTTACAGAGAGACTTCTCAGAAGAAGACATAAGAATGGCCAATCATCACATGAAGAAACATTCAAAATCCCTGGCCATAAAAAAATGCAAATCAAAACAACATTGAGATTCTACCTCACCACAATTAGAATGGCCAATATCAAGAAAACTTACAGTAACAGATGCTGGGGGGCGGGGGGGAGGTGGCCAAAAGGGAAAGCTACTACACTGTTGGTGGGGATGCAAACTTGTTCAACCATTCTGGGAAGCAGTGTGGAGGTTCCTCAAAAGACTAAACATAGAGCTTCCCTATGACCCAGCAATTCCACTCCTGGGCATTTACCCAATAGAACACAAACAAGGTCACACTAAAGCAATCAGCACAACCATGTTCATTGCAGTATTGTTTCCCACAGTTGATGTTATTTTGAACCAACCCCTCTAAAACACTGCTTTAATATGGGGTTACCTGAATATATGAATGCTGGAACTGAGCGCCAGTGATCCATGCCTATAATAATCCTCACAAATCAAGAGACTGAGGCTCAATGTTCAAAGCTACCCCAGGAAGAAAAGTCTGTGAGACTTTTATCTCTCCAATTAACCATCAAAAAGACTCAAATGGAGCTGTGGCTCAAAGGCTCAGGCACCAGATTTGATGAAAAAGCTCAGAGGCAGTGCCCGGGGCCCTTGGTTCAAGCCCCAATACCAGCAAAAATAATGGCTGAGAATAACCACAAGAATACCTTATTGTCAAAAACAATACCATCTTATTTTTCCTCTATTCCCACTGATGAGTATGTCCATACCAAAAAAAATGTATACATACATAGTATGTTGTTTATATATATGTACATAATATTATGTATACCATATACATACACACATACACACACAGAAGGAATGTCTTTTAAAGTACACAACTATCGCCAAGGATTCACCAAAAGCCCTAAAGACCACCTACAGGAACGCAATGCCCAAAGCACCTCCTCTTCTGGAGTAACAAACCAAATTTACCACCGTCCAACCATGTATCATTCCAACACAGCTGCAACGAAACACCTGCCTCACCCGACACACCCTCAGATTATTTTGTGGGCTATTTTTTTTTTACTTTGAATAGATAAAAATCTGTACTGGCATCTGTTCATTGAAAACATCCCAAAACATAAAAGGAACAACTGGTCAACCTCAGAAGGTACAGTAGTGGTCCAGAAAAATGGTAAGACCATTGGCTAATCATGTGGATATGAACCAACAAAATAAATGACCGGCAAACAGATTAGCAACCTCAAATGAACAAACAAAAGTAACCTGTGAATGACCCAAATGTCCCTCCATGACAAATGAACCAGAAGGGTTCTTAGTCAATAGACCAAGGGGAACCAAGCAGGGAAAACACAGAAGACCCTCAAACTAGGTACATTGCTAACAGAGAAGGTAATCCAGTGAAACCCCATGATGCCACTCTCAGCTCCATCCAGAAGAGAGAAACAAAAACTTCTACCACCATCAGCAAAGAGAAGCCCTTAACTAACCCAAACGTACACCAGGAAAGCTGGCAATGGGACCATCCTACAAATCACCACGCAGAACCTGAAGCAAGGTGTGTATCCTCTACTTACGAAGATTATTTATGGGGGTTCTCGTATCCATGTTCTCGTAATGCTGGACATGGACTACGATGTTCAGGTCTCTCTCCATGTGGTCAGTGTTGCAGTGATCCTGAGGTCTCATGACATCTGCCAGGGCCCTGTTTAAAAACGAGAGAAAAAAAAAAGAATTGAGATCTGTTCATTAAAACAAGGCGATCAACACCTACCATGCGCCAGCTCCTGAACAAAAGACAAGGCTGTAGGGTCCATGGAAAATCTCATTCCATTTGGGGTGAGACAGAGAGAGAGACGGCATAAACTCAGTGGCAGTCAGAGGAGACACAATGACTCCACATAGACCATTTTCCTTGCTTTGTACAGCAGCCATGGAATATCGGTGCCATCTGCCTCCCACCCCCTTCTGCAGGCAGCTGCTAGAATTCAATGACAAATACACACACCACGGTCCTAGGTTGCATATCACACACAGATACTGGTCCTCTAGAACAGAAATGGGCCAACATCTATGGAGTACTTACCGTAAGGCAATTATGATCACACTAACCACATTAGGTACCTTAACTACACAAAGAAGAACACTATGGGGGGGAATTGTGAACCCTCCACAAATGGGAAGTGGGGGGAGGCAGAAGCAAATGAACTTGCTCAATGTCGCACAGCCAGTGGATAGTGTCTCAGTCCTCATATTTTTGTTGTGTGTGTCTCACATACTCTCCTGCCTTTGAACCACAATCCTCAGATCTCCGCACTTGGCTGAGAGGATGGGAGCACAGTTCAATCGCGATCAATGACGGTCAAGGTTAGATGGACGCTTAGGAGAACAGCATTTTCACATGGAACAGAGACAACCAGCATCAACCAGATCAACCAACCCACTTCTTCATCTACCCTCTGCCATGGATGTGCCTTGACCTACAAATACCTTTAAAAGATACAGAATATTGTAGAGACTATTGCTCACATAGGCATCTTTTGCTTCAATGGTGTTTTAACCGGAAACTTTGTGCTGCCTTTATCTTTTGCACACCCAACACCAAAATTTGCACACCCAAGTTCAAAAGTCCCCAATGGCTGAAGGAAGCATTTCCTTGCTCCCTTCCAGATATCCATCATCACCCTAGGCAGCCCCCATATTTCACTTACCTGGAAGGAGAATGGGTTCCACGTGCAGCAGCCACTATCAAGATGATAGGAACCGATCAATCAGAATAGATGCCAGCTACCAACATTCAGCTGGTTCATTACCAACCAGAACACCCAATTCTGTTACGCATTTCTACCTCTGACCCCTGAACACCAATGCAATGAACATCTTCGTATAGACTTTTTCTTAAACTAGGGAGAGCTCTTTCCAGTGCACATACTCAAAGAGTGACTAGGCTATGTTTTGGAATGTCCCAGATGTACCTAGCTAATCAGACCCTTGGAGCTCACAGAAAGGGAGATGGAAAAGGAAGAGGAGCTGTGGGGGAGGAATGAGGGGCCAACACCCATCACCTATGAACGCAAGAGCTCCAGCCTGTCTGCTGAGACCTACCCACCCCAAGAGATTCTCACCCTGACATCTGTCCATCAATGCATCGACAACACCCAGAAACTTGAAGGGAATTGCTGGGTCCATTCGCACCTTACTGGGTCAGAATCACCCCACCTCCCCAGAACTGGGCCCAGTAGAAGGCCTTTTCCTAGGCCCTCCCTGTGTGTCTGCTGAAGACTCAAGTTAGAGACATGCCAGAGCAAGAGAGGCCTGAGGGAAGGTCTGAAGATGATACAGTGACCTCAGAGGGTAAGAACCAGGGCTGATGAGAAGTCTCGGGTGAGGAAGAGACATAGTACGGCCCAGAAAGAGGTCTTGCATGAATTAAAAAAAACACACCACGGAATCCACTAAGAAACAGGAGAATAAAACAACAGCTCTCGATCGTTTGTTCACTCAATAAATGTTTATTGTCTACTATGTGCCATGCATGATGCGAGGCCCCGGGGGTACAGCTGTGCACAAGCTGAACGAGGTCGCAGCCTTCCTGGAGCTTACATTCTATGGGAGAGAACAAGAAAATAAATAAAATATGTTAAATAAGTAAAGGCCGCAAATAAACAAACAAGCACACAGAGGGTAGTGCCGTCAAAAGAGACTGGTGCACAGCAGCGATTTTCCACAAGAGCCCGGAAACACCAAGAAACGATCCAAATGTCCTCCAACGCATGGATGAGCGAGCGCACACACGCGTGTGATACGAAACAGAATAGCACTCAGCCACAAGAAGGGAGGAAGCCCACACAAGCCATACAAAAAGCCCAGCCAGAAAAGCCAAGCACAAAAAGCCACGAACTATGAGTCCTTGTATGCAAAATGTCCACAACCACAACGGGCAATTGCACGGACAGCGAGCAAGCGGTGGCTCTTCGGTTGCCAGAGGCCGAGGGTTGAGAGAAAAGTCATGGGAAGGGGCAACTAATAGATATGGCAGGTTTTCTCTTTAGCGTGACTAAAATTACTGAGCTAAACAGTGGACATGATTGGCGCAATGTTGAGATTGTAACAAGAAGTCACTGAATTATATACAATCTTGTCATTGAGCGATGTGGTGCGACTTCATGAAGAGGCGACACTTCAGGAAGGAGGAGGATTCAGGAACCTGATGGTACAGTTTGCATTTGGAAAGTTCCAGAAGGCCCATGTGTTAAAGCTTGGTCCCCAGCTTGGCACTCTTGGGAGGTGGTGAAAGCTGGAAGGGGTGGTACGGGCTGTGAATTCGGTCTTCTAGGTCATGGGGGTGGGGGGAAGGGGCCGTGGCCTGGAAGGAGACTCCGGAACCCTCATCTCTTCTGCTTTCTTTCTCAGTCTTTGACCATCCCTCTATCACGTACTTTCTGCTCAGGGGTACTCTCCCACCGTGGGACCAGAGGCAACAAGGCCTACTGGTCAGGGCCCCTTCAGAACTCTGCATTCCCATAAAACCTTTCCTCTCTGTAAGTCCATGTCGCCTCGAGTATTTGAGCAAGTCACAGAACGCAGACCAACACACGGAATCCACTGAGAAACAGAATAGACAGGAGAAGGCATCTCAGAGAGGACACACGGAGGTGCAAAGGGTCTGAGGCAGGAAAGAGATAGATACTTGAAGACCAGCCAGGGATAGCAATAAAACTAGAGTCGGGCAAGTCAAGAGGAGGGCACTTGGAGGAAGGAAGGAAAAACTGCCCCCAGTCAGCCAGCCCAGCTAATCAGCCAGCGGAGGGCCTGAGCGGAGTTTTGAAATCCAAGTTCAGGCTCCTTCCTACCTCTGTGCGGCAAGCGGGGAAGTTGTGAGATGGGGGACAGAGGCCTACACCCTCTCCCCCCTCCCCCAACCACCTAACTTGCCTTTCGCACTCCTAAACAGGTGCTTCATCCTGGACGTCAAGGGGTCGCTGAATTCCTCTGTAATTGAACGGAAAATTATTTATGCATTTTCCTTGAGCAAGAAGCCAGGCTGTTCCCCCAGACACGGGGATTTCCCCCCACCAAAAAGATAGGAAAGGAAGGTTATTGGGAGTGGCTACCATGAGTGTGGACCACACTGCCATCTACAGAGGCCCTGGGCTTCTCCAAGGTGCTGAAACTTGGGGCATGCCAGTCTCAAAGCCAAGGATGCCCCCACCCTGCCCCGCCACTCTCTAACTCCACCCCAGTCCACCCAGCTGGTCCACCATTCCCAGAATATGCAGTGGAGATGAGGAGTCTTAGCACCATTCACTCCCTGGACAAGAAGTCTCCAGAGTCAGCCTACTCCAAGGACTGCATAAAATGAGCCAGCCTAGGGAAAGAACATGCCTGTTCTGCATATGGTCTTTCATCCTTAAAAACCTAAGAGCCGGGCACCGGTGGCTCACGCCTGTCATCCTAGCTACTCAGGAAGGCTGAGATCTGAGGATCACAGTTCAAAGACGCCAGCCCAGACAGGAAAGTCCATGAGACTCTGATCTCCAATTAGCCACCAACTGGAAGTGGCGCTGTGGTTCAAGTGGTACAGCACTCACCTTGAGCTGAAGAGCTGAGGGACAGCGCCCAGGCCCAGAGTTCAAGCCCCACAACCAACAACAACAACAAAAATAAGATGAAATCTGGCCCTGGCATGGTGGTACACACACCAGGCATAACTTGCAGCCACTTGGGTGGCAGAAGATAAGAATATTGCAATTCAAGACCAGTGCAGGGGCTTAGGGCTGGGGGGAGGGGGGGAGAAGCTGTAAGATCCTTCCCATCCAATGAGCCCAGGTTACAGGAACACACATGTAATCCTAGCTACACCAGAGGTGGTGACTGGTAGGAGGATCTTAAGTATGAAGGTGGCTTGAGCCAAGAGCGCAAGACCCTTATCAACAAAACTACAGCAAAGTGCCATGGTTTGAGTGGTAGAGAGCCTGCCTAGCAACCACAAGGCCTTGAATTTAAACCCCAGAAACATTGGGGGGGGGGGGTAAGAAGAGGAAAGTGGAAAGAGAGGGAGGAGGGGGAGATCAGTTTAATTACATGGATGACAGTACAGTCAGACTAGTCATGGATGACTGACTAGTCCATCCCCATCCGGTATTAAGAATCAGAGACTCTGAACCCAGCAAGGTGCCTCTCAGCACCACCCTGGCTGGGTCATGCTGCCTGCATTACATCCATTCACGCCCAAAGGGATCATACGGGCTATGTCCTTTTTTTTTTTAATTGTTATTATAAAAGTGATATACAGCCGGGCACTGGTCACTCAAGCCTGTAATCCTAGCAACTCAGGAGGCTGAGATCTAAGGATCCCAGTTCAAAGACAGCCCAGGCAGCGAAGTCTGTGAGACTCTTATCTCCAATAAACCACTAGAAAACCAGAAGTGGTGCTGTGGCTCAAGTGGTAGAGCACTAGCCTTGAGCTGAAGAGCTGAGGGACAGCGCCCAGACCCAGAGTTCAGGCCCCACAACCAACAACAAAAAAAAAGTGATGTACAGAAGGGTTACAGTTACACAAGTCAGGTAACAAGTACATTTCTTTTTGGACAGTGTCACCCATGCCCCAGCTCTCTCCCAGGTTTCCCCTCCCATCCCCACTCACAAGTTGTGTTGTTCATTTTCAACATAGTATCTAGTGAGTACCACTGGTGCATTTGTTCA